TATACCCTGTTTGTTGGCCCTCTGGGGCAACTGGTTGGCTGCTAGGGGAAACAGGATGCTGGACTAGATGCACTGCTGGTCTGATCCAGCGGGGCTCTTCTTATGTTCTTAAGATAGTATTTAAGGAAGGGTTACACAATTGGAGTTGGCCTCAGAATGCCTTAGCCTGCCCAATGTTACCATGGTACCATCGAGTTTCCAGCCCCATTGCTAGAGCGTCACCCGGCTACGTGCCTATGTCACGTCTGGGCAACGGAATAGTGCAGCGCCTGTGTTTTCCCCGCGGGAATGGTCCTGCGAAGAACTACATATCCCCCGCCGAATCAAGGTAAGTACTTGGGAGCCCTGTTTCCCTGTGATTAGCATAGTCAACTACTGGCCTTCTTTTTAAAAACATTTGTGGGGACAGTTGTTCCAAAAGGCCAAGCAATTCAAGGAAACCTGCAGAAGGGAATGCTGTGAATAGTTTAAATTAGGGTGAAGTCTAGTTTTTGTGTGTTTCAATTTTTGATGCCTGATGAGGGAGAACCTTTTGTGCAGCAAGGTAAACAAATCACACAAAACAAATCACACAAAATAAAAAATAGGGTTGCCAGGTCCCCTGGGGGGGGGATGCCCACTCAATGGGCCCCTTACCTGCCAACCTGGATCTGGCCGCCGGGGGGAACCCCACCCCCAAAGTGCCAGGATCACAGCGACGTGCCCAGCATGATGATGTCACCCAGAGGTGATGACGTCACCCGGAAGAAAATAATGGGTTGGATCCAGCCGTGTTATCACTCAGGCTCTCCTAATCCCCATCCCTCCTACAGCCTCCATCCCACATGACTCTTCTCTGTGCCTCAACTCACTTTTCCACCAGTGGAAAAGCTGGTTGGATCCAACTCAGTGCCTTTCTACCTAGCCCACATGGACTCGAGGAAGCTTCTGCTCCAACTGTGACTGAGTTAAAGGTTAGTTAGAGTATATTTTCTCAATAAGCCCTTCTTCGGGCTATATGACTAGGGATAAGAAAGCTGGGGATAAGAAAGCTTAGCTAGGGCTGTTACCAACACACGGGCTCAGAAGGGATCTACAGCATATGTGCCCAAGCTGTAGCTCAACACAATTGGAAGTTTCCCTCTGGGATTTCACCCCTGTTTGTGAGCTTCCCTAAGCTTGCCATGTGGTCTAGCTCTATAGTGTGCAGATGCCTGAAGTGGTAGGGCCAAATCACACATGAAGCTGGGCGTCCATAACTGGATCTGCAGACATGTATTTATGGAGTGGTTATGGAGGAACTGTCATGAATCATGTTGCCTGATGGTGGTAGGGGGTTAACTCTTGCTGTTTCCCCAACTGGAATCTTAGCATGGAGTGGCTTTAATAAACTAATAAACACATCAATAACAATTCCAGAAGCCTGGCATCAGGAATCATTCCCAACTGAAGAAAAAACATGAGGGGAGTTAAACTCCCCCTTCCTCAGTTCTGAGACCCTAATGTATATCATCTCTCCCACGCCCACCCCCCCACCCACCACCAGCTGCTTTTGGAAGCTAAGATATAAACCTTGGTATCCAGTCACAGTTGCCTCGCATGATGTGACCCTTAATAATCAGCCTCTGAGTGCTTTTGAAAACTACTTTCTGGTTTCTAGGAAATGAAGAACAATAGACAAAACTTCAAGGATGCAATTGAATGCACACCAGTAAAAGACGTGAATCACCTATCAGAACAATAGGAATGTAATTTATTTACAATTCTGTAAGCAGCCAGCAGCAGAGTCCTCAGTACCAAAATTGCTACAGAAACAAATGCTACCATAGTAATATCAACAGATGCTCCTACAGCATCCCTGGAAATATTGCCACAATGCTCCTGCGATAGCTGTGCACAGAAGACACTGATTAGCATGCTGCAGCAGCTAACAACCTCATGTCATCCAACTAAGTTCAAACATATCCTCCAAAAGCATCACACAGTGGATACCACAGCTGCTATCCTTGCACGTGGCTCCATCGAGCTGTAGGTAGGAGGCCTCCATAGAGAACCCAGATCCTTTGCAGGAAAAAAGGGTTTGTGTCCTACTGTTGCAACAGTGCCTCCACAACACATCACAGAATACATTGGTACTGCTGTCTCTGTGATGAGGATTGTGTCGTGCACAACTATCTTTTAGATTCATGCCCCCAGTAATAAGATTGAAAAGGAAAGAGGCAGCCAGACCAGAATCCACAGTTTTCCATTCCAAAGACCAGTAGTCTAATTGCACAGCCTTAGCACCACACAGAAGGAAGCAGTCAAGTCTAAGGAGAGAACCAGTTTGATGTAGTGGTTACGTTTGTGGACTCTAATCTGGGAGAACTGGGTTTGATTCCCCACTCCTCCACTTGCCCCAGCCATAGTTCTGGCACAGCTGTTCTTGAAAACGAACAGTTTCTGTCAGAGCTCTCTCAGCCCCACCTACCTCACAGGGTGTCTGTTGTAGGGAGGGGAAGGGAAAGGAGTTTGTAAGCCGCTCTGAGACTTGAAGTGAAGGGTGGGGTTTAAATCCAATCTCTTCTTCTTTTCTTCTTCATTCAACTCTGCTTGCTCCTAACTTGCATGGCAGCACTCAGCCCAGTCAAAAGGGATCTGTTTTTCACCTGAAGTTAAGTGGAACTGCACAGACTAGCACAAGATGTCTCGGGTTCTGTCCCTGGCTGCAGACTCCAGGGGAGAAGACCTGATCACACACCTGAGACAAAGTAATCATAAGCAGTTAGAGTAGTAGCCTATCCTCTGGGCTACTTCCTCTCTTGGTTAGCATGATTGCCACTGTCTACTGGATCAGCACATCTTGTTAATCTCACAGCCATGCATTTAGCCCATCGTGTGGCCCACTTAACATACTCTTCATCCATTCATCTGTTACAGTTTTTCCTGCCTTCTTCTCAAGTAATCCTCCCCTTAACCTTCAAGAAATACATGATGTGATGCCCCTTCTCCACTCGGAGTGCCCACCACCCTCTCAGGTTATGAGTTATATGTAAGTCAGGATGTCTTGACTCTTTTAAAATATACAGAGAGCCATGACCATTTCACACCTCAGGTTCTCTCATTCACAGGGACAGCCACAGACAGAGTAGCTCAGCCCTGTTTAACAACACACTCTCATTCATACAGAGTTATTGGGGCTGGGGGCTCAAATGCTATTCCATTTATTCATATCCGATAGATAGATAGATAGATAGATAGATAGATAGATAGATAGATAGATAGATAGATAGATAGATAGATAGATAGATAGATAGATAGATAGATAGATTCCTACTTTAACCCAGGACTTTCCCATCATGCTTTCAACTCTGCTCAGTTTCCCCTTTGCCTTGGTAGAATCCCACAAATGTTATACCAATATATTTTCCCCCTCCAGCATTGCATTGTGTTCCACCACTGTTCCAGCAAGTACAATTTGAGGAAAGTATCGTTCTCCTTCTAGCTAGTGAATTACTTCTATTACATCAGCAATAATTTGCTCCCCATTTTGCTGTCTTTTAGTGGAGCAAGCTTTTAAGAGGTTTCTTGGGAAAATGGAAGGCTTTCTGTGTGACTTGCAGTCATTTTTCCCTCCTCTCTTGCAAGATTTCTTCCCCTTTTACACAAGCGGAGGCTAGCCATAAATACAACATTGAAGAGCATTGGTCCCCAGGGAGCAGGCTGCCTGCCAGCAATGGCATAGGGCATGTAAGTCAATGGTTCCTCGTGGCGTTGTTTCAATTACAGGAGTTCCTAGTGAGACACTTGATGCTAACCCCAAGTTAATTTATTGTGATCCATGTATTAATGATTTAATCTTGGTTTTTATTGATGGGCTTCGTTCTCACTGGCATATCTATCAGAGTTTATTGCTATCGATATCAATAAATTCACACTTGTAGTGAAGCTAATTCAGAAGAGTTCTTTCTCAATGTTGATAACTGTGCTAATTTGCACATAAGGTTGTATGACAGTGTCTAGCAAATACCTTGATATATATAATGGGTAGATCTTCCTTTTTAATCTCTAGAAAATATGTTTATTTCATAAGGGCTGGTACAGATGTTGAAGCTTGGAGGAGATATTGGTATGCTTTGAAAATCTACCTTCATGTTATTTGGCTGTCCCAGGTTAGTGCACACCAATAAAACAATTCAAGCATTTGCCTCATGTGGCAGAATTCAAGAGTACTGAAGGACAATGATGGCCACTAGCATAGATAGGGGGTTAGACAAAGTCACAGAGATGAGCTCCATTAGCAGTTACTGGCCATGGTGACTAAATGGAACTTCCATATGTAAAATTCTGAAGCTCACTGCTAGGAAACAACATCAGGATAGGACCTTTGCTCTGTTCATTGGCCCTCCAGGGCAGGTGATTGGCTACTTTGAGAAATGGGGTAGTGGACTAGATGGAACATTGGTCTGATCTAGCAAGGTTCTTCTTAAGAAGAATCAAACTGAGGAGGGAACACAATTTTCCCTCTCCCAGGGATATCAGAGTCCTGGGCAAGGGACGTGTGTTTCCTTCTCTTCCCCATTACCACACACCAACTGTTTACTTGTAGGGAGCTGAGGAAGAGTTGGGGACACCATTACCCCCAGTGCTATAGGGGAGGTGAGTGAGAGAAGCAATTTTCAACTAGGGCAGCAAAATAGCTTCAGACCAGTCTTAAATGGTTCTCCTGTAGAATCCCCACTAATAGATTGAGGTTGGTAAGAATATAGCTTGAGATCATCTGGTGGTCATTGGAAGACATCATAAGTAACCTAGATACTGTGCAAGTATTTATTTTATCAGAGTTGTTTGTGCTACTATTTCTGTGTTCTGGGAAGGAGAAACCAGGAAAAGTTTGCATGTTAAAAAGATAAAGTAAACCATCCCAATGACTGAAGATATGTTTTCCTTAAACAGGTGTTTAATTGTTACTTCCTGCCCTGGCTCGTATTTCAGTATCCATATTTAACTGGTTCCTCTGTGTTCTTTCTTCTGTACTCCAGAGATCTGTCTTTTGACCAAAGGCCGCCGCACTGCCAGTGTACGAGCAGATACTTACTGTCGATTGTATTCTCTTTCTGTGGACAATTTTAATGAGGTTCTGGAAGAATACCCTATGATGAGAAGAGCATTTGAAACAGTAGCCATTGACAGACTGGACAGGATAGGTATGTTGCTTTAATCTTCTTAACTGAACACAATCCCATGTAGTGCTTTTTTTATAAAAAGAGGTTCCTGTACTGATATTTAAAAGTTGTGCTGATTTCCATCAATTCACCCCTCAGGACTTGGAAGACCCCCCCCCCAAGGTTCTGGTACTGGTGAGTACCACCACCAAAAAGGCCCTGGACTTATGCCACCTTTGGGTTATGAGACGAAACGTTTTGTACCTGACAATATAAATGAATGTACTGAATTTCTGTGGATATGGTTTAATTATGTTTTTTTTTAAAATTTATAGTCTGATTTATCTCAAAAGTTTGGGTCAGTGTTAAAAGTTACAGTAATTCTATCATTTCAACACAAATTCTAATTTCCTTCTGGTGAATGCTTGCCTTCAAAAGCCAAGCTAAGTAAGAGTTTTTTGCCCTTTCAGTCCGCTTGCTTAAGCTTCCCTGACCTCTAGGTATGTGAGATCCATATCTGGGGGAGCATCTACCAATTTCTTTTCATTTGATATTCACTTTTCTTAGACTAAGTGCATACTTTAAGAGCACCTGAAATTATATACTCTGGAAAATAATAGGAATAGAGTGTAAAATTCCGAGCACTGGTGTAATAAACACCTGGAATTCTGTCTCACCCTATCACAAAGCCAACTGGTTTTTCTGAATCATCAGGGACTGACTCATGTATGGAGCTTTGACCCTGAGATTGCTACCTGAGTCATCTGAGATTTATGCTTCTCACAAGAAGTGCCACACACTTTTCACTACTGGCCACTTCCACATTCAGGCCCAGCAATCAACCAGGGTTGTTTCCATCTATGACAAATGTTTCTATTCTTCCCACAGCAATGGGTCTTTCAACCAAGATTACATCAGTTTTAGTAATGGGCAAGCTTCTCCCATCATATATCATACCTGGGTTGCCAATGACAATCAGCCATGTCAGACACTTTCCAAAAATGCTCTCTTTTTAATCATGAGATTTATATTGGCTCACAATATAAAGTGAGCTTCTGCACAGGCTCAGATATCACTAGCATTTAAGTCTATTGTTAGTCTGAGTCTTAGACACAAGACAGTTGTAGCTGTAGACACCCTCACACACACACACAACATAATTAGGGGCATTTTAGGCTTGACAACATGGAGGGCAAATCCAGGGATGTCCCAACCCTTAGAGGAAAAAGAAGCCATGCAGTTCCTGAGACTGAATGTCCCAAACACTGGGAAGGTCAGCTTTTCACCTCCCAGATAATAACATTATGGAGGCTATTATTTTCTCCCTCTCTCTTTTTTGTATTTTTGCATTTGTGTGTGCATGTGTGCATGTGTGCATGCCTGTGCCTGGAAGTCATGGCTTGATAGCCTGTTTCTGCCTCCCAGCCCTGATATTCTTTGGAGGTCTCCCATCCAACTACCCGCCAGAGTCAGCCCTGCTTAGCTTGTAAGATCTGATGAGAATGGGCTTGCCTGGGCTATCCAGGTCAGGGCTAGAGGCGATTTTTTTCAATTTCCTTTTTGTTTGTGGACTTTTTTCCCTTAAACCTTTAAGCTCATGCTGAGCCAACAAAAAATTGCTCCACAAAGCTTCAGAAACAATATTTTGGGGTCAAAAATGCACCAGCTTGCTCACCATACAGTAGAACCTCATAAATCTTACTTGGGGGAGTGCTTGCCCATCTCTTTTGGGGCTACAACATGTGTCCGTATTTTCCAATCGAAAGCAGACTGAAAATAGATCTAAAGGCTCATTCAGGAGCATGTGCAGAAGCTCATTTTACATTGTGAACCAGCTCAGAACAACTCATTCAAATAACAATAATTATATGAGCAGTATGAGCTAGGCACATTTGCATTCCAAATCAGGAAATCACAAGTTCCGTTGACCTCACGATTTAGTGTATTTAGTTTGGGCCATCCTCCTCTAGACTCTGGCCATAGCCAGATGGTTAGTAAGCCCTAAGAAATGGAAGCAGCTGCTCTTAGCAGACGAATAATTCTCCCCCCTCCCCTTTCCCAAGAGTTCTAAACTTGTTCACAGTGATCTGGCCCCTTTGTGAGCCACCATACCATATTCTCACTGGCAACTGCTGCTCCAGTGGTAGCTGCTGCTTTTCTCGCATTGACTTAAGGAAGAGGGAGATCTGCCCTTCGTTCCCTCCCTGTATCCTCCCTGGTGGCCTGGGGGAGAAAACTACCTTTCCCAGGATCCCTTGCCACAGCTGCATTCAGAGGGGCAGGGAAAGGAAGAAGGTCAAGAGAGAAAGAGACCGAGACTTCCTTCCTTTCCATGCCACTATTATCACCGCAGCCCCAGAGAGGAGTAGGGGAAGAAAGGAGAGGTCAACTGTTGTCCCTTCACGTTGCCACTGCTGGAGCAGCAGCAGGAACCAGGTAAGTGGGTGGAAGTGGGAGGGAGAAGAATTCAGGAGGCTTAATGTTGAACTTTCCAGGGGCAGAGCCCTGGAAAATGGTGTCACCAATGTTGGGAGGCCATTTCCAGGAGAGAGAAAAAACCAGGAGTGACATTATACATAACCCACAACTCTCTAGGTAAACACTGTAGAGATCAATAGCATGCCTAGATTTGTGCACTGGCATGTGACATCACGTCTGGGATTTTGCCCAAAAATGACATCGTGGTGTCAGATACCATTCCCACCCCCCTTTTTCCTCCCACCACCACATTGACTGGTGGAGGGCAATTGGGTATGGCAGCAGGGGACTGTCCACCACCACCTAGCAGCTGGCAACCCTAAATACTGTTGAAAGCCCTCAAAACTCATACTCTAGACCAGAGAATAAGAATTGAGCATCACTGAAGTTATGACCTCTCCCCCTGTTACTTCATATGTGTCACGAGAAGCAAGAAGAAGAAACTTTTGCTTTCACTCCTTCTTTTAACATGCAAAACATTTGGGGTTTTTTTGAAGAATTTGTGAAGGTTTCTGCAAGGTGGTGAGGGGAGTGGCATTCAGATGGTGATGAAGCCATAAGGGAAGGACAAGTTAGCACATATCCTCTGGGGCCATTTTGCAATCAAGGCCAGTCCTGTTCCATCCCATGAGGACTGGAAATTTTTCAACAGAAAGGGAGCTCAGATTCTAAAGAATTCCCCAAGAAGGCAAACACTGAACAAGACTATTCCTAAATCAAATATTTAAACTATTTAAAAGCTTCTTTTAAAAAGCTCACTTTATTTCATTACATTAAATGGCCGTGTCAATTTATGAATAAGAAATGTATTACTTGCAAGAGGCAGAGAGAGCACAAGGAACTTTAACTAATCTGGAGAGCTTCAGAAAGCTCTCACATATCCCTTGAGGATCTAAGTCTGAATGTAATGATTCTGCTTGTTTATTAAAATGTGTATGGGTGCTATCAGCATTCTCAGCAATATCAGCACTACTTGGATTAGGGCCGGTGAGCCTTGAAGCTGTTTTTCTTCCCCAAATGGTGCGCGATACGACCATTGCGGTCTGTATCTTGGGTCCGGCGCACACATTATGGCAGCCGCATCTAGGCTGCATTTTTTATTTTTAAAAAAATGGTTCGTGTGGAACACGTCATTGCACAGATTGGCCAGTTTTCTTGATGTCATCACAGACCCTTCTTTGGCTGAAACCAGTGGCCTGGGGAGAATCGCTCAATCCACGTGGTGAACCAATTCAGACAGTGGGCAAGGTAATTCTCCATTTCACCAGCCCCGACTTATCCAAGTGATTGCCCAGGTTCACAGAGCATGCCTTACCCTCCCTCAGCACTGTAGCCCCTTTGGCTATGTAAGCCCCCAACTAAATGATAATAATGCTGTTTTACCCAGACTTCAGATTATTGCAAGGCTTTGAGATTGCCACAAACTCCTATGGAGATACAAACATTAGGTCTGACTGTTTTGTTAGTTTATTTTTTATTTTTTAGAATTTTAGCCACACACAAAAAATTGTTACAAGGAATGTTCAAGTTGTTGTTGAAAGCAGTAGAATTACTTTTGGCAAGTGGGTTTGTGAATTGCATCCTCTGTTCTATAAGAGATAGACAAGGTCTTCTGTTTGCTTGCAGAGACCCTTATTACACAACCAGGTTCACATGAGTTAGAAGACAGAGAGAGAGATGACCGTTCTCTGGTGGTCACTGCTTACTGAAGTTTAATCATCGGTTCTTGGAAATGTGTTAATTGGGTGTATTTTTTAAATAATTTACATAACTTGTTTAGCTTCTATGAAGCTGGGACAGCACGGCAAGGAGAAAGTCAGACTGTTTAATACTTAGGATCTCGTTGCTGCCCTTCCCTTCCCCTCCACTGTCATTAAATTGATCTTATGAGATGGTAGAGAATATTAGCTCATTAAGAGTCAGGACAGCAGTGGAAGCAAAATGTCTAGCATTTGTAGGCATTTGGTTTTTGTCATTAATAACTAGCAAAATGCCCCTGTTAGAATGGTTAGGAAGTTCGTGGGACTCAATAAGAGTCAGGACAGCAGTGGAAGCAAAATGTCTAGCATTTGTAGGCATTTGGTGTTTGTCATTAATAACTAGCAAAATGCCCCTGTTAGAATGGTTAGGATGTTCGTGGGGCTTGCTCTGATAGTCCTTGGGATGCAATGCAAGTGATGCTAAAGGGTGAAACTCATTTCTTGTGTTCTGTGTGCAAACAGATATTCCCTTGGGACCCATGGCAAGGAGGTCAGTACCACACGGTGCCAGTTTTTGTAGTCACCATAATAGGGTTATCATAAGCATAGGAGTGGACTAGAAGAAAGTGAAGGGAAGCACTTGGGGACACCATAGGGGTGTTCCGTAACCCTAGTGATCTCAGAGATTGTGGCTATTAAGAACTGAGCTTACCCCCTTTCTGCATAGCCTCGGCTTTCCATCTGCCTGGTTCCATCCTCAGTGACATTTCTTGACCATGCTCAAACATGACAGGGAGCTTGGGAATGCAGAGCGAATGCGGCTAATGGCGTTCTTATATTCTTTTCATCAAGACCTTAACTCACCTTGATGCAAAATGTTGTTTACCTGTGTCCTGCCATGTTGGGAATTTGCTAACTTTGCGTGCCGTTGTATCCATTTTACCACCCCACCCCTCACGCCCTCCCCCAAAAGGAAAGAAAAATTCGCTTCTCCTGCAGAAATTCCAAAAAGATCTCAATACCGGCGTTTTCAACAACCAAGAGAGTGAAATTTTGAAGCAGATAGTAAAACACGACCGAGAGATGGTGCAGACTGTTGTCCCGATGAACATACAGCAGATGTCAGCGCTGAATTCTAACACTCCAGGCGCAGCCCCATCAATGCAGATCAGGACGCAGTCCCCACCTGTGTATTCTGTTCCCAACCTCTCACACGGGAGCCTGAATTCTCCAACGCCAAGCACACAGACGCCCCAGCAAGCTGCCGTTTTCTCGCCCTGCTCCTACCCTTCGGCAGTCTGTAGTCCTCCAATACAAAGCCCACTGGCTGGCCGAACTTTTCAGTATGCAACACCTACAGCTTCGCAGCTGTCGCTACTGCAGCAGCAGCAGCAGCAACCGCCGCCGCCGCCACCACCACAACAGCAGTCGCAGCAGCCACAGCAAACACCTAGCACATCACAGAAGAGCGATGTCCACAAGAGCACGCAAGCTCTTCACAATGCTAGTCTGACAAGAGAGGTGAGGCCTCTCTCTGCCTCACAGCCTTCTTTGCCCCATGAGGTTTCTGCTATGGCTTCTAGACCTCATCCGACAGTGGGGGAATCTTTAGCCTCCCTTCCACAGCCAGTCTCAAGTCTCCAAAGCACAGGCATCCAGGCTGGAAGCAAAGGCACAGTGCCGCCAAGGGTCGCCCTGTTCCGCCAGATGTCTTCCGGAGCAATTCCGCCCACACGAGGGGCCACGCCATCCACAGCCACACCACCAAGGGATTCTTCCACAGTCTTAAACACTGAACTAGAGGGAGATAAACCACGATTTGCTTCAAACTTATGATCCATGCAGACTTACGAATAAAGTGGAGACATTGACATAAACTGAGATCGCTACCAGGAAGCAATGTTAACCTATTTTCTGATAAGACTCCAGCTGTCTTCTACGAAAAGGAAAACTGTAGACAAATCTAACTCTTAAATTCGAATGTACAATATAGAAAGACAGACAGACATCCAAAAGAAAAGCGAGATATCCAAATGGCCTCTCATGTCTTCCTTTCTTATAAACCGTTAAACGAGTCTGAAACCATTGGTTGTGATATGATTTGTTTTTAACCTGCTTCTCTGTTTATAAAGAGATTTCCTGTTCAGATGGAAAATGAAATTCCATGGTTAAATGACAGTATTATTAACTCCAGGAACTAAGCCACAAATTTAATTAAATTGATACAATACAAGTTAGGGTGGAATTAGGAGCTGTTAAACAATCTTTTTTTATTTGTATTAATCAAAGACAATTGAGTCACATTTCCCATTTTAGAAATGAAGTTTCCTTTTATGGTGCTTTACATTCAGGTTTAGATTGAAGGACCAATTAAATTCTGACTATCTACAGAAGAAGGTCTAGCATTACTGCTGTTCTGAATGAAATCTATCCTCAGAATCATTCTTTTTAAGAAAGCTGGGTGTACTTCTGTCTTCATATTGAAAAAAGAAATTAGGTGAGACTCATTAATCTCTCTGTAAATAACTTTTTAGACCCAAATACTCAAATGAAAAATAGCTCCTGTGTGGTGTACCATCGCAAAGTATTTGTTTAGAAATTTAGTTTCCAGCTCTTCACGCCAAAATATGACATTTTAAAATTTTACTAACTATGAAACGCAACACAGTTGTAATGCAATGGCTTGAGACCTGCAATGTTATTTTTCCATGCAGTGTTTTTATGCAAAATTGTATGCTTGATCCTGCTATGTGTATTTCACCAGGACCATCACCTTCCTCTTCTTTTCCCTGGACAGTGACTGAAAATATTCCATGCATGCTTGTTTGTTTTTTTAATTTGGGGTGCCGGGGGGGGGGGCAGAAAACAAACCAAAAGATGAACAAACAATGCATCTTGCATCCCAATATTAGATTCAGTCAGCAGTTGGGGGTGGAGAATCAAACATGTATCTTAAGTTTAGAAAACGATAAATGTGAATTGATTGTCATTTCATTTCCTATAATGCTGACTAAAGTTAAGAAGTGATTTTATTTGAATTTTTTGTCAACCACTGCTTTTGTTAAGCTTTCAAGCCTGTTTTCTGTCCTCACTGTAGTTTTGTAGTTGACTGTGGTGATATTTTTACAGACAACTGAGTATACTATAGCATCCTGTCCGTCTGGGAATGCACAACTCGCTTAGTGTGTACTATAATAATTTGGACAACATATCCTACTACGGCATGTAGTTTCAACCATAGAAATTAGAGTTTGTTTGTTTTTCTTTGTAATGTTTGCACAAAAAGGGAGGGATACCGTATCAGAAGGCAGGGTTAAAGCATACGGTTTTGTAAAACTTTTCTTTCATTTGCTCTGCTCTTCATTTTCTGACTTGGGGTGTTTTCAGATGGTTGGTTTTCCAAGTGTCAGCTGTGGACATGAACACATTACCCACCACACTATCAACTCCAGTCACATTAGTGGTTGTGTGGTACATAACCATTCATCCCTCCTAACTGTGTGAATGGATGCTGGTGACAGCCGCATGAGATAATAGTGGCTGTGCTGCTGTGGGTAATGTGTAGACCAACCTCAGTGTTTTGGTCACCTGGAAGTCATACCAGGACTGCGTGTTGATCTCCTCTAGTCAAGGTGACAGAGAGAGAACTGGATGGTTCTACATATCAAAGTCCAGACGAGCAACAGTTGCACATAAAAAATCCATGATGGTTGGTGGTTGTGGTACTCCTCCCCCTGCCTCCGGCTTAATGCTACACTACAAAACCAGATGTGGTAGAAGTTGAGCAAACCTGTGCCATCCTCCCTGCGAAGGACATCCCTTAGCAAATTATTAGTGCCTGAGGAAGGTCACAGCTGAACAAAGATCGAAACTGGCCATGTCGTAACTGAACCGCATTCCAAAACTGCTATGTAAACTACGTTATCTACCCTTTTGACCCCAAACAGTACTTGGTAAGGGAATGTGCCCATTAATGGTAAGGGAATGGAAGAACAAAGTGGCATTACAGAACTACATATTCTGGTGTTTCAGAGTTAAGCTAGTTCTAATTGTGACCAAGACCACAATTCAGCAGGTACTTCTCTGGTGCAAGCTGCATCCATTTCATGAGCCCAATGGGGTTGCCTCCAAAGTTTTTAGCCTTTGAAATGTACAGAGTCTTTAAAGGGGCCTCATTGTCCTCAATGACCACATCTGTGGAACCAGGTGGCTTGAGGAGCAATATCCAAACATCTTGTTGCCTGCTATGCCTTTTTCAAATGGTATTTCTAATACCTAAATAAATCAACAACCCTTAAGTTTTCTTAGCGAATCCTGCTTCCCAAGTGAAATCAAGTCAATGATGTCATTTATTCCGTGAATACGATGCTAGCGGTAAATGGGAGTGGTCAGGAATCGCGTACAAGGAATGTAACTTTGAAGTGTTATGGATGAACTGCAAGACCATTTATTTTTTGGTACAATAGAACCCTGACTTTATTTTAATACTGATAATAAATTATATCCAATTTATGATGAATCATATTCTGGTCCTTAAAACTGTTCAAGGTTTACATTTGATAGGCGTATAAATGGAGTTGGTAGTGAACTATTTTTATACATATGTTTATTTTATTTTAAGTATAATAAAAACATTAACATACATGGTCTTTCAGTGAAACCATAAAATGAAAAAAAAAAACTTTTCAATGACTTTGTAATAGATCGGGCAAAACCTAAGGTTTGTAAGTTACTTAAAAGTGGTACAGGGTATAAAAACTATATACATATATATATGTATGTATGTATGTATGAATGTGTATATATATATTTAGGTTATGAAACAAATGACTCATTTCTGTAATATAAAGAATATCCATTGCTATTTTGAGAACTGACCTATTTTTCTCTGTATATATATATATATACAAAAGCCCTTAAAAATGGAATCTCACATCTGTATAGGATGAAATGTATTTATTATGAGGTTGGATCGTGTCGCTGCTGAAAAGACAATACATCGAACTGATTCTTACAATGACTGTACGATCAGGGATGAGTTAGATTTTTTTCTTTTGTCTTTGCTCAAAGCCATAAATATATATATAAATATAAAGATTATTAATAAATTGAACAAAAATATAAAACAATAAAACATGAATATTTTATTTGATCTGTGATGTTTCTAACCAAAGTTGATACATTATTTCAATACGAACCTGAGTTTTTCTTGTTTGCAAGTGGTTAAATAAATGACTAGCAATAAATACTACAGTTAAAATAGATCAGAAGGCAAAGAAGAGACCTTTAGATAGAGTCCTCCTTACCCAAAATAATTTCACAGAGATGAGCTCTGTCAGAATGTGCCACCTGATGTTCTCAAACAGAGACATGTCGTTGGTTCAACTCTTGAGGTCAACACAGTAGAAATACAGCGATGGTTGAAGAGTCTCGTATAATTTGCATATTCTATTTACGTATCATTCCCTCATGAATTTTGGAGAGGCATTGCTCGTGTTCTGAAAAATACGTTTGACCAGTGGGGCCAAGGAAATGCTACTCAGCACTTGAAAACTTTTGATACAAGTATTTCTGAGAATGGAAAAGCATGGGGAGTATCTTCATGAGAGCAGTGACAAATATGCCAACTCCCTTCAGTAGTGGTGGCTGATCTATACCTGTGCAGAGATGCCTTCAGTGAAGCGAGGAGGAAATTTTATTGGTCATCACTTCCAGGTACTGGACATATAGCCATTCCCAGCTACTGAGTTACAGAATTATAGAGGTAGGTGTTAATCAGAATTGTTGATGACACCCAATTTATGGATAATGTCACTGATGAATAACATCAGTGCGAATGATAGCAATTCTGATAATAGTTTTTATGGTTCAGCTCTTAAATATATTGGAACCAATTAAAATCAGCTCCTGAGACTCTAACCCTATTTCCAAACAGAACAAGAATGGAATGATCAACTGCTGAGAGGGCAATAAAATCAGCATGTGAATAATTCCCTTGTCTATTTGCAGATGGCAAAATATCCCCCAAAGCCCCTAAATCAGTCTCTGGCCATGGGGCATAAAGTTAAATTGCAAAGTTTCAACAAAATAGGAACAAGATAGGCAAAAGCTGCCATTCTTGAAAGTTTTCAAGATACTTTATTAATTCTGTGTGATACATAGTTACCCAGTTAACTCTGTGGCAGAATTGGAACTGGGCCAGCGAATCTCTTTGTTTTAAGTCCAGTTGTTTCCCAACTGAAACACATTTTGGATTCAAGATCGGTTGTTACAGTACAGTCCCATTAACTGTGTAGAAACGTTTTGCATAGTGTGCAGAAAGCCAGGAGAGTGGGAGGAACCTAATCAGGTCTTCCTGGACTACTTTGGACTTAATGGCTTACCTAAAACCCAGGTCCCTTTTTAGTGACCTCAGATAAGCACTCTATTTATTTATTTATTATTTCTATTTATATCCCGCCTTGCCGGACACGCTGGCTCAAGGCGGCTAACAGGGTTAAAATAGCGTAAACAATACAGAGATAACACAGTTAAAAATACAAAACCAGTTAAAACAGCAATAGTTACAGATAAAAACCAACAGATGATGGCGATAATCCAAATCACACCCAATGATAGGAGTAGCATCCAGCAAGATCTCATGCCAGAAGATGTTCCAGGGCAAATTCATCAGTGGCGGCTCCTAATCGAAAGCCTGATGGAAAAGCTCTGTTTTACAGGCCCTGAGGAACTGTAAAAGGTCTTACAGGGCCCTGATGTCCTCTGGGAGCTCATTCCACCAGTATACGCTGCAGCCTTCTCCTATTCTTTCTGCTGTCTGCTTGTGGGTTACCAAA